GATGACAATCTCAAATGAAAAATGTGCATGCACCTTACCTCCCTCGGGTGTCATGAAATGAAACTCTGAACTAGGCACTCCATTATCAACAGTATAAGCTTGCACATGCGCACTGTAGTTTGTATAAAACAACAGATCATCAAGTTCGACACTGGTTGAGCTCGTGTTCACCACATGCGTAAGATCTGCTACGGACCTTCGAGCCCGCGTTATGTAGTAGACTTCAACAGGCTGGTAGGTGACAGTATAGCCTCGGATAATACCGCGTACTTCGTCGGCGGGGACTGGATCCCACTCAAGGGTTGTCGAGTACGATGCGAGGATTGAAGGTGTGGTGCTGGTATTACTAGGGATATCGTTGGTCGGCTCATCATGGAGTCGGAGGTTGATTGGGGGAATACGAGGGACTGAAAAGAAAAAGGCAAAATATAGATTCGTTTCACTAAGTGTTGAAGGGTACTTTGGAGATTGGAAACTTCGAGTGTTAATCCAACCTGAGCCCTACGATTCCTGTGCAGCGCTCTAAGTTCCTCTAACCACTCCGTAGCTCAGTTGGTTAAAAGCACTGCATCGTTATCGCAGGTTCAATTCCTACCAGAGTGCCTGTAGCCCAGGTCGGGATAGCTGTGACCAAATTGAAGCCAGACATGAGATAAATCTAATGTTCAACCAAAGCGAGCGTGAATCGTTGGTGCAGAGAGAACGTGCTAACATAGAAAACGTGCTAACGTAGAAAAGTGCGAACGTTACCTTCTTCGTGCGTTCGAACGGTGACCATTGGATATTTCGGTCCGAGTCCTTTTCTAGTGTACCCGGCCATGGTCAAGTCATAGAATGCAAATACGGTTAGATTGGTTATCATAATCTCCTCGCTCGATAACATCACACTGAAATTACGTTGGTCGTTGCTATGGTTACAATAGATCACGTACCCCAGTGGAACGCCTTGCCATAAGTCTTCATCGATGTGGCTCCATGACACGGTCAGGGCACTGGTGTTGAGTGCGGTGACAGAAAAATTGGATGGATATACGGCTGGCACTGGAGAAAACAAATAATTATTTATTTATTTATTTATCTGCTGCGTATATTAACTTTACAACCATACAAAAGTACTATGAAATTATTACAAATAAACGTTTTGAAAAAACTGAGCAACACTTAGTCTAAATATGGTTGAAGGCAGAGTCAACAGGACATGATATGAGGACCAACCTGACATAAGCCAAGTAGACATAAATTGAAGACAAGGACTACAGCACTTTTTACATAATTATATAATATAGGACAGATTAGGAGCAGCAGCTTAAGTTGAAAGAACGGCATTCAGCTGGTTTTCCAAGTGCGCATTATATTTATCCCATGCAAACATACAACAAAATTAGGATGGAATTTAACAGGAAATTCTAACAAACGCCGCATTTCGGTAACCAGCAGCTTGCCTTCATACAAGCAACTCAAAACTCACCATGTTCCAAGGTTTTGATGACACCAGCCTCAGTAGGTGAACTGGCTCCAACACGGTTCAGCGCCATTAATGAAACACTATAGTTTGTAAAATGTTTCAGTTGCGTATAATTAAGTTGGACTGCCCCTGGCGGGATCTGGACACTGATGTTTATGTCACGTGCAATATCTTGAAATAAAACAACATAGCTTGGTTCAGGGCCGTTCCAGTAATATCTTGGTAGAAGATCCCACTCGACCAGCACGGATTGTAAATCAACATTTTGAACTCTTGCGTTGAGGTTTATCATGTCTGGGACTAAAAAACAAAGCGAATGTTTCTGACCGCGTAGCTCAGTTGGCAGAGCATTGGGCTTCCAAAGGTCGAAGGTTCGAATCCCACCGTGGCCAGGCATGTTTTTCAAGCCTGCCCGGTGTGGATATACACTCAGAGTAACATCACATAAGCATCTTATTCACCTGAGTACATTACACCAACACAGCAAAAACCAAGTTAGCTTTATTTTCTATACAACCTTTCCAAAACCTGCCTTTTACGTATTTGAGAGATCAGTTTGTGAGTATGCGCAAATCGAGCTTTACCTCAACTATAATTTATAGTGTAATGTAAATATAATTGTAAAGTTTATAAGGGGAGTGCCTTGCATGGGTTTTTTCACTCGTTCGCACTTTTCCTTTTGGGCAATTATTTAATGTTATTGTTAATATTCCCAATAAAGTTATAAAGAAAAAAAGAAAAAAGTTAAATCAGATATTGCTGAGAAAACGCGCTAATGTAGAAAACGCGCTAACGTTACCATCTTCTGGAGTTCGTACGGTGACCATTGGATGCTTTGGTCCCAGGCCTTTCCTCGTGTACCCGGCCATGGTTAGATCATAGAATGTAAATCCAGTCAAGTTAGTTATCACAATCCCCTGGGTGGAAAAAGTCACAGTGAAATTACGTTGGTCGTTGCTGTGGTTACAATAGATCACGTATCCCAGTGGCATGCCTTGCCACAAGTCCTCGTCGATATTGCTCCATGACACGGTCAGGGTCCTGGTGTTGAGTGCGGTGACAGAAAAGTTGGAAGGATAGACAGCTGGTACTGGAGAAAAAATAGAATATATGAGAAGATAGAGAAACTATATAAAGCAATTCTTAAATAATTATCAGCGACCTTGGTCCGATAAACTAAGCTAACTTTCCTTAAACTGGAAATCTCTATCAGTTCTAAACTGATAGCATTAGCGGTTAGATTTTGGTTATTTGGTTAGTTATTTTCGGTTAGATTATTAGAGGATAGTATTTGTGGTTAGAGCTCAACAACTGTCTCTCTGTAGCTCAGTTGGTTAGAGCTTGACAACTGTCTCTCTGCAGCTCAGTTGGTTAGAGCTCGACAACTGTCTCTCTGTAGCTCAGTTGGTTAGAGCTTGACAACTGTCTCTCTGTAGCTCAGTTGGTTAGAGCTCGACAACTGTCTCTCTGTAGCCAGTTGGTTAGAGCTCGACAACTGTCTCTCTGTAGCTCAGTTGGTTAGAGCTCGACAACTGTCTCTCTGTAGCTCAGTTGGTTAGAGCTCGACAACTGTCTCTCTGTAGCTCAGTTGGTTAGAGCTCGACAACTGTCTCTCTGTAGCTCAGTTGGTTAGAGCTCGACAACTGTCTTCTGTAGCTCAGTTGGTTAGAGCTCGACAACTGTCTCTCTGTAGCTCAGTTGGTTAGAGCTCGACAACTGTCTCTCTGTAGCTCAGTTGGTTAGAGCTCTACAACTGTCTCTCTGTAGCTCAGTTGGTTAGAGCTCGACAACTGTCTCTCTGTAGCTCAGTTGGTTAGAGCTTGACAACTGTCTCTCTGTAACTCAGTTGGTTAGATCTCAACAACTGTCTCTCTGTAGCTCAGTTGGTTAGATCTCAACAACCGTCTCTCTGTAGTTCAGTTGGTTAGATCTCAACAACCGTCTCTCTGTAGCTCAGTTGGTTAGAGCTCAACAACCGTCTCTCTGTAGCTCAGTTGGTTAGAGCTCGACAACTGTCTCTCTGTAGCTCAGTTGGTTAGAGCTCGACAACTGTCTCTCTGTAGCTCAGTTGGTTAGATCTCAACAACCGTCTCTCTGTAGCTCAGTTGGTTAGAGCTCGACAACTGTCTCTCTGTAGCTCAGTTGGTTAGATCTCAACAACTGTCTCTCTGTAGCTCAGTTGGTTAGAGCTCGACAACTGTCTCTCTGTAGCTCAGTTGGTTAGAGCTCGACAACTGTCTCTCTGTAGCTCAGTTGGTTAGAGCTCAACAACTGTCTCTCTGTAGCTCAGTTGGTTAGAGCTCGACAACTGTCTCTCTGTAGCTCAGTTGGTTAGAGCGCTGGACAGGAATCGCAGGTCGCAGGTTCAATTCCTGCCAGAGAGGCTGTAGTTGCATTTTTCACAACTGCTCCTGGTTAGGTCTACTAATTGTATAAAATTTTCCACTGGAAATTTCCATCTATAAAACTCTGCTACAATTAACTCAAAACTCACCATGTTCCAAGGTTTTGATGACACCAGCCTTAGTGGGTGAACTGGGTCCAACACGGTTCAGCGCCATTAATGAAACACTATAGTTTGTAAAATGTCTCAATTGCGTATGATTAAGTTGGGTTGTTCCTGGTGGAACCTGGACACTGATCTTTATGTCACGAGCAATATCTTGAAATAAAACAACATAGCTTGGTTCAGGGCCGTTCCAGTAATATTTTGGTAGAAGATCCCACTCGACCAGCACGGATTGTAAATCAACATTGTGAACCGTTGCGTTGAGGTTTATCATCTCTGGGACTAAAAACGACAGAGAAAAGCTCGGTTACGGAAAGGTGGAAGACAGGGCGCTTGTGGAAGATGTAGTTAGCGTGCTGCCACTTGCCTTTGAGTTAAACCTGCTACTGCGGGTCGAGGGCAAGATTTATTTAGCTTGGGTAACTCCCGTGTGTTTGAAAAACTCATGTAAAGGAGAGTTTGGTTGGTTCGTTCTTGTGCTTCGAAGATTTTTCTCCATGGACAGTTTAGAAGAGCTATCCATGCAGTACACACGCAAAAAATCTCACAACTTGTCAACAAGATGTGTTCGCAACAGGTTTGTAGCAAGCTTGTCAACAAGTTGTAACAATGCTGTTATTTTATCAAGTTGCTACAAGGTTGTCACTCACAACATTTAGGCAAATTGTTGAAGTGCAGAACGATAACAATTTGTTGAACAACTTGTAACAAGTCTGTCAAGCTTAGCAACCTTGTAGCAAGTTGTTGTAATTTGTCAACAAGCTGGGAACAAGCAGTGCGAACACATTCCGTTGACAAGTTGTTGGACCAGATTATTACAAGTCTGTTGCAGGTTTGTTATAAGTTGAGCGTTTTTACGTGTGTATGAATAAATTTAGTTTAGTTGTCTTAGGTTCAAGAGCAAAGCAATCTTACTGTCATCGAGAGTAGAGTTGAGAATTTCCTTGCTAGGCCAACCATCTCCGACCAGACTAAAAGCAACAACTTTCAAATAATACTCCACGCTTTTTCTTAGACCATTCAAAATAACCACCGAAACGTTCTGAAATTCTTGACCATAAATAACTTTCTCTTCCCATGATTCCACAGGGTCCTCCAGGCTTCTGTACAGTAGTTTGAACCCCTGAAACACTCCTGTGACGTCATAGTCAGGTGACCAGTGCCAGGAAATATTCAGCGCGGTTGAGTTGATGGCAGTTGACGAGACGTTGTACGGAATGTGGGTTGGAACTAAACGTTCATAGAAAAATGCAGTAAATTATAGTTTGATTTCATAATATGAAAACCTTACTTCAAAGCCATAGCAACGGTCATGCTGTGCCAACTTTTAATAATTTGCATTTTTCAAACCTTTAAGGCCCGTTTACACGTGCGATTTTTGCTGCGATTTTAGTTGCGATTTTCTCCTTTTGGAGGATCTGAAGGAGTAGATTATTTAATGATGTTGTTATGAGATTTCATAACCTGGAACATTTATAACTCATCCACTCCTTTACATCCTCCAAAAGGAGAAAATCACACCTAAAATCGCAGTAAAAATCGCCCGTGCAAACGGGCCTTTAGAAATGTATCGTCTTTAACCTATTTATATGTAGCTTTATTAGCATAGCATTTAGCCTCACCACTGCCTGTCTTTAAGTAATATTTCAAATCCGACTATGAGAACTGAAATGTTAATACCTTTCACTGAGCTCTTGGAAATTAAAACAAACGCTGAATTTTCAATTCCTTTTTGGACTATTTCATTTTGCTTCCACGAAGTAGTCATTACTGATTGAGTCACCTCCGCAAATAGAACACGGTTTCTCCTGTTTATACAAAATAAATGCAACAATATTACTGATACACTTTCGGATGTCGATCGGTGCATGCAGGTACGGACGTACATTTCTTTGAAGCGACCCTTGAAAGTTGTCTGCCGTATGGTGTGGAAGGCTGGACCCTTACCATTGACCCTTATACAAACCAAATGAGCCACTGATTAGATGGGACTTATACACAAATGCTAAGAGTGGTATTTGGTGGTTTATCATCGGAAAACAACACAAAAGGAGCTATACGGGGACGTTCAAAAGATTACTTGGTGTGGAAGAGAAAGGTTGGAAAGTACAAGTGCTGCGGTAGAAGTCAAGGAACACGTGAACCATATGAACACGTGTCACGTACGTACGTTGATGAATTGAAAAAAATACTGGACTAACCATTGAAAAACCATCCTCATCCAGGTCCTGGATGACCATAAAGAATGGAAGAAGCAAGTCATTGAGGTCCGAGCAAGCTCGGAATAAGTCACAAACGAGCATGCATATAAAAATCAATACCAGCCAACAATTTCAAAAAGTCATCAGACAAACACAATTATCTTAAACTCATGCTCATCTTGTTTGACTCGTATCTTGAGTTTCAACATGTTAATCATGTGTTTCGTCTTATACTTTGTTCATGCATGCATGCATATATTACCTGTAGTAGACAAACTCAAAGTCAGTCTCGTTGTTAACATTATAACAAAGCCCAAAGTCGCCAGTGGTGTACCGAAAATCTGCCGAAACCGCGTAGTTGTCGACAGATGGAACTTGCTCGCCAAGCATTAATTTCATTTCATGGCTGTCTACAATATCTTCGATGAAAGGCAATTGAAATGTGCGAGTGTTAAGAAAACTTGAAATTGGTACAAAATATTCCTCGACACGAAATTCTTTAAAACTCGCGGTAATTTCAAGGTCGTACCACACGACCGCGCCGACGTTTGAAGGTTGGGGACTAAACGGTCGTGTAGTCTTGAGTAAAAGACTGCCATCTAAATACGTCTCGATATTGTCAACGTCGACATGAATAGTTAGCGTGTGCCAAACTCGTGCTTCCGGAAATCCACCAATACAGTTACCATTAATGTATTGATCCGTACCATGTTCACGATGAATAAAAGTGAAGCAACGATCGACCAATTTATGACACCTACAAGTATAATGAGAAAGATTCAGATTTCACTATCGCTATCCGTAGTAACACATAAAGCCAAACTAGCGGGAGGCATTGTTGCCAAACCATTGATCATATTTCCTAAAGGTAACCAAACAAGAAACATTGTTTCCTAGCCATGTTTCCCGAAGGTGAACAAACCAGGAAACATTGTTTCCTAGCCATGTTTCCAGAAGGTGAACAAATCAGGAAACATTGTTTCCTAGCTATGTTTCCTGAAGGTGGACAAACTAGGAAACATTGTTTCCTAGCCATGTTTCCCGAAGGTGGACAAACAAGGAAACACTGTTTCCTAGCTATGTTTCTCGAAGGTGGACAAACCAGGAAACATTGTTTTCATAAAGGTGGCAAAATTAATACCCATAAATCACATGCTCCCATTACCCACTTGCCCCATCACCCACATGCCCCCAACACCCACATGTTGGTGTTTATGGTAGTGCTGAGCACTGTACCTGACAATAATGATGATATAGTTGTCCCTGTTTTTATATTTAAACAAAAAGCCCATATGACTATGTTCATATCCATTCTCTTGCTTGCCATGCTCCTGCCGAAATCTCGCTTCAATCCTGTAGCGACGAGATAACACAGGTCTATTATAAATTGCCATACAGTGACTGGTTGATGTAAAGGTTTCTGTGCCACGGAGACGGTACTCGCCCTCTCTGCCTGTAGGTCCAGAATGCGTCATGTCACAGTCTTGAAATGTGAAGTTTGTCCCCTGGTTGGCTTCGAGACTGAATTCCTTGACCGTAACGTCATTGGAATTTTCTATTTGAGGCGCTAAAACAACAAAAAATACTCGATCTTTATGCAACCTATTAAAGTCACTCAAAGGCACAACCTCCTTCCCAGCGCAAAGGCAGAGAGTGTGTCTATTTGTGGTGTGATTTAGTCGACGTGAAACTTGAAAAAGTTGTTTCTTTTTATTTTTCCCATCTTGCATATCAAAGATAGTGTGATGTCATTATCTACTGTACAAGTTCAACAAAAATATCAGGGCAAGGGAGATCCCTTATGAAACCCTTTCGGGCTTTGATTATAAGACCCCTAGTTAACAAAATGTATAAATCAGTATATCCACATAAAGTCGTTAAAATAGTACATCTAGATTAAAAACGAAAGAAAATACAATAACAATAAATGAAGGACGTTTTTGTACGGTAAATTGATTAATTTGAAAGCAAGATAGAAAGTATGTTTTTCCAGAGGTTTTTTACACAGGATTTAATACTTTTTAGTTCATCCAGGCCACCGCACTGTAGTTTCTATGTATGCCAGATGATCTTGATACGCGGAAAAGTACTGGCACTACTTGTCAAATAGAAATCCATTTTGTGATTAAAACAACTGAATATCTCCTGTAATATACTTTATTTCGATTCCATATTTTTGTCAGAGCTATAGTTCTCATAACCAAACATAATTACAAAATTTCAACTAGTTTCATGAAGAATAACGAAAGATATAATTGACTGAACACATCAAAATGGATTTCTATTCGGACAACCCTTTCTGAGCGCTGATTGGCTAAAATACGAACATGAGATCACCTGGTGGTTTGCACATAAGTTCGGAACATGAAAAGATCGACATTTTAACCACAAAATACTGATCAGTGACAGACTCAGCGGTGCAACGTGTCCTCGTTTTTTTATGCATAAATATGCAGTTTACTCGCCAGAAGGTGGGGCAGCCAGCCAGTACAGCGTGTTCATTGGCCACAAAATGTCATCGATGGCTAGGAAAATGGCGGCAAAATGCGTAATGCGACATGCACAAGGACAGAAACTTCAAAGCTTCCGAAGCAAGTGGCCCTTCTGTATGGATCTTTATTCTGTGGTTTAAATTAAGCCTTACCTTGGTCGATTACACAATCACCCCATTGCCCGACATAGTTGCTAGTTGTTGAACACCATAACTTAGTTCCATATTCGATTGTTGTACATGTTTCATACAATGCACCACGAAAAACAAACGGCAAAGCACAACACGTGCCTGTTGTAGTTTTCACAGTGCAGCTACTTCCTGGAAAAATTAGAAATACCTTAAGCAATAATGCTAATTTCTGATAAAGAGGCCTTCAAATCACGCGTATATCCCTTTTCTGCCCAGCATATGACATCAAGCATTTATCATGCTTCATCCTGGCAATATATTTCGTCCATGTAAATACGTTACTCCGCCTAGACGCGTTCCCCGGCTGGACGAGATAAAAATGTCCCACCTGGCTGGGATCATATAAACAAGTTCTAACTAACTTCGTATTGATAGGGATGCAATGCAACAACCTGCAGAAATATACCAGGGGAACTTCGACTTCAGGTAGTTGCATCCTATCAACTGAAGCTTTCTTATTATTTCCACTATCTACACGGGCACAGACCATTATAACTATTAAAACTAACAAACCAACCGATCAACTGACTAACTTTCGAAGATTTCTTATAGTGTTTTATAGTGTCTCTTTCTTATAAGTCCTGGGAAAGTGTGGTAATCTCCCCCATCTTAATACTAGGGCGGATAAATACTAGGGCAGGTAAAGAAAGACAGAGGAACGAAGTTGTATTTTGTATTTGCATGGAGACCTCCTTTTTAGTAGGGGGACAATTAGGTGCAGGTGCGTGGACTTGCGTGGATGTTTCGTGGAAATGACCCTGAAACAAGTATCCTAGGGCGCTTTCCATTTAATGGCCTGACTGGTCAGACCCAAATTTTTTTTCTCTGTATCAATGGAAATATCTGATCTATGTTTCTCAAATATCTAGTGAAAATGGACATCATTCAAATGTTATCTAAATTTTCCGGTCAGACAGGTCCGAAGTCCAAATGTTTTGTGTTCCATTCAACAATTTGACCGTTCTGACCGGTCTGGCCGTGTTAATGGACAGCGCCCCTAGTGTACCAAACTCTATCCTTCATTTGTCCCATAAAATTATATATTACCCTACTCTATCACGATATATCTTATACTATCCTACCATATCCATACCTTTCTTTGTCCCAAAAAATCCTCCCCGGGCGGTATTTTGTCCCTCAGTCGAAACTGAGCCAAGTTTTATGTTGTTCAAATTCACCTCAACACCACCATTCTTCACGTCCAACTTCAGATTGAAATATTCGTTTTTCGATTGAAAACGCGAATCATTACAGTAAAAAATCACGTCTTCGCGCCAAGTGGCAATACCATTACGGACAGATCCCGCATAAATACATTTATCAGTCCCGAATTCTTCCCTATGACATAACACAACAATGATCGGAATGCCAGCTTAGATTACACACACAAAAATTTAATTTGCCATACCTTTGGTTGCAAAAAAGTCTTAGTTAATGCTTTTAACTTACCATATTCTTTTCACCGAGGTGCCATTGATATATTTACCAATCTATAAACATGTAAAAAAAAATTAATTTGGATTAGTGCCAAATAAAGATTAGATTAGGGTTAGATTAAGATTAGGGTGAGGTTTGGGGGTCAACATGTGTCGCGAATTTATTGTTAATTTCGGACGTGTTTAACAACTTACTCATATAGTAAATTCAAAAGTGGAGTTCATGCTGTATTTTTAGAGTCTTTCCTACCCAATATTTCAATATTTTAGTATTGCCTAACAATGAAGATAAGTATTGCTACTTACAGTTTAATGTGACTAGGAAAATTGAGAACATTTTGGAAATTTGGAGTCACCAGATCGTCAGAAAGGGTATTTGGCAATTGTCCCCCTGCCACAACACGTTCAACGTCTTTAGTTTGTTCGATTGTTAACTCTAATTCTGATTCAGACTATAGAGTTCACCGGCTTTTTTGTTCCCTGAGAATTACCTGAATTTACCTGAAAATCTACTGGAAATCTACCTGAAATTGCTCATGAGCTAACTAAGTTAATTACTATGTAACTAACTAGCTAGCTAACTGACTAACCAACCAAACAAGCCAACCAAACAACTGCTACAACTCATCAACTAATTGCAGCAACTAACTAACCACACACATTCACTAGCGCTCGTAATCAGATTCGCACACTTTCGTTCAGCTCTTACCAGTAAATTGAGTTCATCAGTGGCACTTTTATGTTCAGGATCTTCGCTATCAACCAACGCTCTACTCCAGTTGTAGGACTCGAGCTCAAAATTCCAGGAAATATAGTTGGAGAGATTTCCTGCAAGAAATGAAATGAAGAATCTTCGATAGGTGCAGAAGTTCAAGATCCTTGCCAATTTATGCTGATTTTGGTCAAAATTTGGTCAAGATTTGATTTTGGTCAATTTTGAATGGCTTTTGAAATTTATTTGATGGGATGTTTGTGATGTTACTCTGAGTGTGCATCCACACCGGGCAAGCTGAAAAGTTTGCTTGGCCACGGTGGGAATCAAACACCAACACACACAAATATCATATCTTAGAATACACTGATATCGAAGGAACTATACTCAGTTCCGAAATATCATCAACTCGAACCGACGAGACCACGTATAGCTCAGTTGGCAGAGCATTGGACTAGTATCCCAAAGGTCGCGGGTTCGATTCCCACAGTGGCCAAGCAAACTTTTCAGCTTGCCCGGTGTGGATGCACACTCAGAGTAACATCACAAACATCATATTCACCTGAGTACACAACACCAACACACACAAATATCATTTGATGGATTTGGCGTACGTCTTAGGGTTTGTATTATTGCAAGAACGATAAGCGAAAAAATCTGTAAAACGTTTCCCATATAATTTTAGATTTCTTTGTGATAATGCAAACTATTTTCATTGCTGTCTTCGCTGACTTTAATTCTACAGTACAGCTCTATCTGATCTAAACTGTTCTCCCTAAAAAGCTAGCTAGGGCAATCCCTTACTGGTCCAGTGTTACTACAGGAGAGAACCAAAACGAAACTAACTTTTATATTAGATAGCTCTATAAGTTCTAACTGTTCTCCCTAGAGATCTAGTAAGGGCAACTGTTTTCTACTGGTGGAAACCAAAACCAAACTAACTTTTATATTAGATAGCTCTATCAGTTCTAACTGTTCTCCCTAGAGATCTAGTAAGGGCAACTGTGTTACTACAGGAGGAAACCAAAACCAAACTAACTTTTATATTAGATAGCTCTATCAGTTCTAACTGTTCTCCCTAGAGATCCAGTAAGGGCAACTGTGTTACTACAGGAGGAAACCAAAACCAAACTAACTTTTATATTAGATAGCTCTATCAGTTCTAACTGTTCTCCCTAGAGATCTAGTAAGGGCAACTGTGTTACTACAGGAGGAAACCAAAACCAAACTAACTTTTATATTAGATAGCTCTATCAGTTCTAACTGTTCTCCCTAGAGATCCAGTAAGGGCAACTGTGTTACTACAGGAGGAAACCAAAACCAAACTAACTTTTATATTAGATAGCTCTATCAGTTCTAACTGTTCTCCCTAAAGATCCAGTAAGGGCAACTGTGTTACTACAGGAGGAAACCAAAACCAAACTAACTTTTATATTAGATAGCTCTATCAGTTCTAACTGTTCTCCCTAGAGATCTAGTAAGGGCAATCGTGTTACTACAGGAGAGAACCAAAACCAAACTAACTTTTATATTAGATAGCTCTATCAGTTCTAACTGTTCTCCCTAGAGATCTAGCAAGGGCAACTGTGTTACTACAGGAGGAAACCAAAACGAAACTAACTTTTATATTAGATAGCTCTATCAGTTCTAACTGTTCTCCCTAGAGATCTAGTAAGGGCAATCGTGTTACTACAGGAGAAAACCAAAACCAAACTAACTTTTATATTAGATAGCTCTATCAGTTCTAACTGTTCTCCCTAGAGATCTAGTAAGGGCAATCGTGTTACTACAGGAGAGAACCAAAACCAAACTAACTTTTATATTAGATAGCTCTATCAGTTCTAACTGTTCTCCCTAGAGATCTAGCAAGGGCAACTGTTTTACTACAGGAGAGAACCAAAACGAAACTAACTTTTATATTAGATAGCTCTATCAGTTCTAACTGTTTTCTACCGGAGGAAACCAAAACGAAACTAACTTTTATATTAGATAGCTCTATCAGTTCTAACTGTTCTCCCTAGAGATCCAGTAAGGGCAACTGTGTTACTACAGGAGGAAACCAAAACCAAACTAACTAGATAGCTCTATCAGTTCTAACTGTTCTCCCTAAAGATCCAGTATAAAGATCCAGTAAGGGCAACTGTGTTACTACAGGAGGAAACCAAAACCAAACTAACTTTTATATTAGATAGCTCTATCAGTTCTAACTGTTCTCCCTAGAGATCTAGTAAGGGCAATCGTGTTACTACAGGAGAGAACCAAAACCAAACTAACTTTTATATTAGATAGCTCTATCAGTTCTAACTGTTCTCCCTAGAGATCTAGCAAGGGCAACTGTGTTACTACAGGAGAAAACCAAAACGAAACTAACTTTTATATTAGATAGCTCTATCAGTTCTAACTGTTCTCCCTAGAGATCTAGTAAGGGCAATCGTGTTACTACAGGAGAGAACCAAAACCAAACTAACTTTTATATTAGATAGCTCTATCAGTTCTAACTGTTCTCCCTAGAGATCTAGCAAGGGCAACTGTTTTACTACAGGAGAGAACCAAAACGAAACTAACTTTTATATTAGATAGCTCTATCAGTTCTAACTGTTTTCTACCGGAGGAAACCAAAACGAAACTAACTTTTATATTAGATAGCTCTATCAGTTCTAACTGTTCTCCCTAAAGATCCAGTAAGGGCAACTGTGTTGCTACAGGAGGAAACCAAAACCAAACTAACTTTTATATTAGATAGCTCTATAAGTTCTAACTGTTTTCTACTGGTGGAAACCAAAACCAAACTAACTTTTATATTAGATAGCTCTATCAGTTCTAACTGTTCTCCCTAGAGATCTAGTAAGGGCAACTGTGTTACTACAGGAGGAAATCAAAACGAAACTAACTTTTATATTAGATAGCTCTATCAGTTCTAACTGTTCTCCCTAAAGATCTAGTAAGGGCAACTGTGTTGCTACAGGAGGAAATCAAAACCCACAACACGAACTACTGTCATCATGCAACGCCCCCAACTTACTTGTAACAAGATTATACATCTCAATTATTCTGTCTTCTGTTAAAGTTGCATTCCATACGGCCAGTTCATCGATCGAAAAACCACCGAACGTTTTCTGTACTACGGTGTCCATTGTATCCAGACTCGGTTCGAATGAAGAAACGTCTTCGGGACATATTTTTTCTTGTTTCTTGACGCCCATAGCATCAATCAAATAAAAAACAAGCTTTCCAGAACTGTCCGGTTGAATTGTCCATATGGCCGACACAAACATCCATGTTCCGTAGGACGGGAAAAAATGATATAAACTACATCCATGCTTCGTGCCTTTAACAGCGTACCATAATGTAGATTTATCTCGATAGCTTGCGAGTGCAACACCGAGACGTTCACCAGAGTTGGTTCTGAAAAAAAGTTCACGGTTCCTCGGGTCGCCCCCCTTTACCCAAGCAGTGATAGTTAGACCTTCAGGGCAAATCGAAGGATCTCTTAAACATGGGTACTTAATTTCACCAAGGCGTAAGCCAGAATTTTCTGCGGGTTTTGTCAAAAATGCAAGGTTCACCGGGCCTCGTTCATGTGATACGGGCGCCATGATTATAGTGGCTCCAACACCAGTTTTCAAATCTGTTATATTCTCGGGATCGTCAAAAGACCAGTAATGAAACGCATCCTGGTAAATACTTTCCAATAATTCTGTGGAAAGATTAAAAAAAATTTAAGTGTGAATTGTAGGCAGCTACGGATTGAGAATGCTGCAACTATTTGAAAAATATAACGACGAAATCAAGAAATGTTCCAAGGATTTAAATATTCATTTTTTATCAAAACTGCAAGAGACTGGAATGAACTACCGGCAAATATTGCAACAATAGGTACTCTGGACAAATTCAAAAGTGAATTAATAAAACATATTTGTATATATCTTAAGGTTATTTATAGTTGTTATAATTGTTCTATATATAGTTGGTGTGATGCCGTATAGGCTTTATCGACTTTATTAAAATGATGATGATGATGATGATGATAATGAAGATGATGATGACGAAGGGCCTTCGCTCGAAAAATATTCTCGAAACGATTCACTTACTATTCTGACATTCCTCGCCGACAAATTTTTCATCCAAGCACAGACATTTTCCTGTCACATTATCGCATTTACTTCGGCCCACACACGCTGGATCACAGCTAGCTCCTGGTACCGCGTACGATGGAGTGAAAGAACAATTTCTGTCATCCATCAGTGATACAGCCCCAACAGCAATATCACTTTTGTAGCCGTCTCCAACAACACCAGCAAAAACCATCTATACATTAAATAAAGCATTTAAAATGTAATTGATATTTTGAACTATTAAAATGAAGCAAATATTGGTGGAATTCTGTAAGCCTTACAGCAATTAGTGGACATGCAAAGTTGACGTTTATAGAAAATTAAGATACTCTTCCTTGAGATCCCCAAATCCTGATGTTTTTACCATTTACCTTAAGCTGGATTTCCACTTGCAAGAAAAATTTCGCTGTCGAAAATTTCCGCTCAATTTCATTTGAATTGTGAGCGGTCAAGTAGAACTGATTTATTCGTCACAATTCAAAAGAAATCAAGCAAAATATTTCTCTGTAAATGGAAATCTTCCCTAACACTGTCACCACATTAGTGTATACCATTGAACTATAAATAAACTGGAAGGCTAACTGCTATGACGAAGGCCTATGATTTGATGAAGCCAAAATAGTTTTTCTGAGTTATGATCATGAGCAGAAATACTTGACCCCAAACGTTGGGCTATATAATTGAAGCTATTGAAAATTGCTATTCGGTGTGGAAATTTCAAGACTTCAGCGAAAAGAAAAATATTTAAAAAATACAAAAACAACTGCAAAACGGCAAATTATCGGTAATTATGTTTGTAGTTTTTCAATATTTCCCTTTTAGCTAAAGTCTTGAAATTTCTACACCAAATAACGTTTTTCAATAGCTTCAATTTGATATATAGCCCAACGTTCAGTGTTAAGTATTTCTGCTCATAACTCAGAAAAACTAAAATGCACTGGCTTCAATTTCCCCCCCTGAGTTAGCCTTCCAGTTTATTTATAGTTCAATGCGTCCAACAGCTCCTTCAATTTCCGCCATCTTGGCAAGGAGAGTGCCGAAATTTCATCGATTTAATTAAAGAATAATACTATGGTTTTAAGAACTGAAAACTTGATTAGCGATACTGTCCGTTAGAGAAAAAACTGGATCGGAATTATCTTTGAAAAATGGTATAAAAACTGTTTACGATCTTCAGAGGTATTGGACGTCACTGGCCGCCATTTTGGCTTCACTTTCTCATTGACCGAATGACTGAAGTTATTGCTCCAGACATACAAAGAGCTCAGTGAGCACCATATTGGAAACTGGCAAGTTTGTGATCGAAAAAAATTTTTACAAAAATACTTGCCGTGGTTTTAGGATTTTGGACTTGCTTAAATCATCCTTGCCTGTGGAATTCTAAAAATATAGAAATGTTTATACTTTATATTTTATCACAATAGGCTCTCTAAAACATGTCAAAACAATGAAATGACATGGAGAACAGTGGGATTTGGCGAAGTGTTATAGGCGCAGTGTGCTCCGACAGCGAGTATCATGCATAAATTATACAATGGGCTAACAACACATTCTATGCCCAGCAAGACAAACTTTTGCTCATTTAATTTTGATCTAGGCAAGAAAAACGAAATCCATCACCACAGCTAGAAAGAGCATCTTAAAATTAGTAAAATTGCAAACTTTGGTTGCAAAATGTTGCAAAATGCGGAAAATATAGCCCAGCGAAATTTGCAAATTTTGTATTAATTTGTATTACGCGTGCGAGAAAATGCACCACATTTAATTTTGATCTAGGCAAGAAAAACGAAATCCATCACCACAGGTAGAAAGAGCATCTTAACATTAGTAAAATTGCAAAGTTTGGTTGCGAAATATGTTGTAAAATGCGGAAAATATACCCCTGCGAAATTTTCAAATTTTGTATTAATTTTTATAATATAGCATTTGTAAATTCTGAACGCTGATTGGCTAAGAGCCGTGTTGATATAACTCAATGTCAACACGGAAACGTCGGAAAATTTATTTCTTTATATTTCTTTATGCTATATTATAAAACAAATACAAAACTTTTTTCCGTATTGATACACAGTTATATCAACACTCGTGGAAATTGGGAAAACTCGAAATTGTGTGAAAACACTCCGCCCTTGGGGCGTCGTGTTTCCACACAATTTCTCGTTTTCCCAATTTCCACGACTGTTGATATAACTGTATATCAATACGGAAAATGTTTTATATTTGTTAATTATAATATAGCATTTGTAAATTCTGAACGCTGATTGGCTAAGAGCCGTGTTGATATAACTCCATGTCAACACGGGAAATTTTCCGCCGCTTGTAAACACGGAAATTTTTCTTATTCTTCGGGCTTTTGACATTGCTATATTATAAAACAAATATAAAACTTTTTTCCGTATTGATATATCGTTATATCAACACTCGTGGAAGTTGGGAAAACTCGAAATTGTGTGAAAACACTCCGCCCTTCGGGCGTCGTGTTTCCACACAATTTCTCGTTTTCCCAATTTCCACTCGTGTTGATATAACTGTATATCAACACGGAAAATGTTTTATATTTGTTAAGTATCACGCGTGCGGGAAAATGCACCACTTTCGGCCCAAATGTGGTGCATTTTCCCGCGCGTAATACAAATTAATACAAAATTTGCAAATTTCGCACGGGTATATCTTCCACATTTTACAACATTTCGCAACCAAACTTTGCAACTTTACTAATTTTACGATGCTCTATCTAGCTGTGGTGATGGATTTCGTACTTCTTGCCGAGATCAAAATTTAGTATATAGCTCGAATCATCCATTTTCGTATTAAAATTCGTGCTAACAAAAACACACAGACATAGAAAGCCAGGTGAAAACCTCCTGACGCAAGTAATAGACAATTTCCATTATAGACTAATTTTAAAACTAGTACCACTGTTAGAAAGAGCATACTAAAATGAGTAAAATTGCAAAGTCTGGTTGCGAAATGTTGTAAGATGCAGAAAATATAGCCTTGCAAAGTTTGCAAATTTTGTGTACTTTTGTATAGGCAATTCCAACTTTTAGTTTATGCGTGCAGGGGATGATGGGAAGTAAGGTATCATATTGCTGATTATGCTGAAAAATTTCAATAAAAACTGCCGAAACAACAGAAATATTTCAATATTTACAAGAATAAGCTATCACTCCGTGTTTACACACCATTTTTATTTTTTCAGCATAATCAGCAATATTTATTTATTTGTTTATTTATTTAACTTCGCCATTGTCATACATTCATGGCAGGGCCACCACAACAGTATGGTACATTGCTTCCCATCATCCCCTGCACGCATACACTGAAGCTGGAATTGCCTATTGCGTGCGGAAATTGCTACCATTTTCGGCCCAAATGTGGTAGGAATTTCCGCACGCAATACAAAAATGTACAAAATTTGCAAACTTTGCAAGGCTATATTTTCTGCATTTTACAACATTTCGCAACCAAACTTTGCAATTTTACTAATTTAGTATGCTCTTTCCGGGAATATACTTTTTGTCAAGATAAAAAATGAGCCTATAATGAGAATTGTCTATTATCTAGATTGGTCGACTTACTGGCAATCGTTTTCTTTTCAAAGTTTGTTTCTTCGCCAATTTCTTGAAATTCCCCGTTCTCTTCGTGCGATAATAATACAGAACACAATCTTTCACACTCTAGTGATGGGTTGAATAATACCAAATCTCAATGGAACGTGTGGTACACACATAAAAATTTCTGTCAACAAGATGTGTTCGCAACAGGCTTGCAGCAAGCTTGTCAACAAGTGGTAACAATGCTGTTATTTTATCAAGTTGTTACAAGTTTGTCACTCACAACTTGTCAACAAGATGTGTTCGCAAAAGGCTTGTAGCAAGCTTGTCAACAAGTTGTAACAATGGTGCATTTTATCGAGTTGTTACAAGTTTGTCACTCACAACTTGTCAACAAGATGTGTTCGCAACAGGCTTGTAGCAAGTTTGTCAACAAGTTGTAACAATGCTGTTATTTTATCAAGTTGTTACAAGTTTGTCACTCACAACTTGTCAACAAGATGTGTTCGCAACAGGCTTGTAGCAAGCTTGTCAACAAGTTGTAACAATGCTGTTATTTTATCGAGTTGCTACAAGTTTGTCACTCACAACTTGTCAACAAGATGTGTTCGCAACAGGCTTGTAGTAAGCTTGTCAACAAGTTGTAACAATGCTGTTATTTTATCAAGTTGTTACAAATTTGTCACTCACAACTTGTCAACAAGATAACAAGATGTGTTCGCAACAGGTTTGTAGCAAGCTTATCAACAAGTTGTAACAATGCTGTTATTTTATCGAGTTGCTACAAGCCTGTCACTCACAACTTGTTGACAAATTGTTGAATTGCAGGACGATACCAAGTTGTTGGAACAAGTCCGTTGAGCTCAACAACCTTGTAACAACTTGCAGCAAGTAGCCGTTATTCCGTTAACAACTTGTCAACAAGCTGGGAACAAGCAGTGCGATCTCATGATCTCATCTTGTTAACAATTTGTTGGAACAGAGTTGCTACAAGTCTGTTGCAGGTTTGTTACAACTTGTGCGTCTTTACGTGATTTAAAAACATACACGTTACTTTGTACCTTGTTTGGTATAAATTTAGCAATGCACTCGAAGTCTTTCGGAGCTTCAATGTACCTGGAGAAAATAACATACATGCATGTAAATACAGGATTGAATCCAGCCAGATGTTGTAAATATAGGGTGGGGGTGGGGGGCAATCGACCCTTGGTCATGGTTTCGGTGCAACTTTTGAATGTTGATCAAATGCATAATCACTACATGGATCTACAGGCAGTAATGTTATCATGAACCAACAAAAAAAGTTCCTGGCAAAGTTCAGGGGCCTAGTAAGGCGATTTTCTATTGCAATAGATGATGAAACAACACAAACTTACTTTTCCTTGAATATCTCTTTTTCTTTCTCGGTCCAAATATTCAACATCTTGCGTTGTTCCACGTACACCTTCAAGTCTTTGATTAAACCTACAGAGAAATACACCGTCTATAGAGATACAGGCAAGACTGCACGACTGTTCACTAAATGTCCTCCTTGTGTAAACAGAGGTGTAACTTAACATTTGCTCGGGGCAAGTGAATATCTTGACGGCCAAGTAAACGTTTTATCTTGCTTGCCCGATTGTGCAATTTGCCATCGCCACAAAAAGCTGGGCATCTTTAAGGTTATGTTTTCATTGCATATTGTGCATGTATTTGATTCAAATTTTGTTTTTTGTGGGCCAAAGCTGAGGCAGTATAACATAGCCACATAGAGCAGTGCATGGGAGAACGGGTCGACATGTTGTCCCCTTAATTTATACCCCCTACCTAAGTACCCCAGTGGCCATTGTCTGATGGCAAGTGAATTTTATTCAGGGCAACTAATTTTCATGTCCAACTTGCCCTGAGGGTAAGTGGTCAAAAAAGTCAAGTTACACCACTAATAAAATACCGGTCAAATCGAGAGGGATGAGTGTTGCAACTCTCGCTCATACATTCTCATCAACCTTGAACCGGTTCAAATATTGATAAGAGTTTTTGCCACGCGCGCGGTAACATCCGGTCAACTCTCGTTCTCGTTTCAGGGTTCGTACACCTTCATAATTTAAAAAATCCAGGGTTTTCCAGGACTTTTTTCATCCTTTTCCAGGGGTTTTCCAGGGGCATTTGAAATATAAATCTATAAGTGTTTAACGGATAAGAAACGTTCGCGACGGCTAGTACTTCATCTTGTACAGATACTTCTTGGGTTTGTGCCAGTTTGAACGAAAGGTCGCGCCGTATGCCCAAGACATGCTGCGACTATCTATAATGCAAGAACCTTTTGTTCAATCTTTCTTTTTAAGATAGTCTTAAATAGTTTAGGTATAATCCTATACCCAGCTCAGTTTCTCAGTTTTCCAGGGTTTTCCAGGGATAAATTTGAAATTCCAGGGTTTTCAAGGGTTTTTCAGGACTAAAATAAAAATCCAGGTTTTCCAGGGGGCGTACGAACCCTGTCGTTTGACCGATCGAGGCATGAGAGTTTAAAAAATCCTCATACAAACCGATCGCTACTCAACTCTCATGCAAGCATTGTCCTCATCGTGTATCTCAAAATTGCGTCAGATTGGTCGCGTGAAACACAACTTTGATCAGTCAACACTAGCTACAATCATCGATACATTAGTCATGAGTAAAATTAATAACTATTGTTCAACAGTATGGTCTAATACGTCAGATGCCAACATCAAAAAGATCCAATTAATCCAAAATTACGCAGCCCGATTAATTACAGGGGTGCCTAAGTATGATCATATATCACCGACATTAAACGCGTTAGGATGGTTGTCAATCAAAGAACATCTATTGTACAGAGATGCGTTATTAACATTTAAATGCATGAATGACAAAGCTCCACAGTATTTATGCGATAATTTTGAACCACGAAACAGAATTCATAACCGAGATACTAGAAGAAATGGAGACCTGGATATTCCAAAATATAGGACATCGATCGGTCAAAGATCGTTCAAATACCGAGGGACTAAGATATGGTATGGTCTAGATACAGAGCTGAAATCAATTAGTGATTTGAACAATTTTAAGACGAAACTTAAGACAATTCTTATTGAGAAGCGATGTCATTCTTTGTAACTTTTTTAACTCATAAACCATAATATATAGTATAATTTTAGTTCGTGTAATAACTTTGATAAGATTGTTGTAAATATATATAGTCGATAACTAATAATTTCTTCTAAAATCCATGTAAATTGTCATTGAAAAGCCCATTTTAGGGAATGTCAATTAATAAATTCAAATTCAAAAAATTCTTGTTCTCGTTTGACCGGGGCATGAGAGTTGAGAAAATTCTCAAATCTCATTCTCATTTGACCAGGGCTTAATAAAATATTTAGCAGCATTTCCTCTCCCCCTGTCAATGTGTCTCAAGTTGAGGACCATGTCTGCTACTGTGTGTTCCGCATGGATTATTTGAAACCTGTATCCGATACTTAAAAGAACAAAACAAACCGTTTCTGTTGATGTATTTCACTCTTCTCTGATCTTCGTCCAGTAACGGAGGTACATCTACAGCCAATTGTCGCATGTGTTTCTCGTGTTTCTGCGAATAGAGGAGTTGATAGGCTCAATCTTTGCTATTCACATACGAACATAACAACGTGTTCATATCGTCTAATTTATTATTATTTAGCTTTGCCAACTAGGGCAGGGTCACCACAACAGCATATGCAAATTACTGTGGGCCCTTTTTACCTAACCCACCCCGTCAACTTTCCCTGTGGGAGGGAACCGGAGTACCCGGGGAAAACCCACAACTTTCGGCAGAGCGTTACTCTCTTCACGTGGGGACTGGGTTCGAGTCGCGTTGAGAAAGTTCTCACTGAGGCTTGGACCTGCGGCCTCAGAGGTGAAAGTTAAGTGCGCTAACCACTTGGCTAACCACTAATACAGGCTGTTCGTAACAGGTCGCTACGAGCTTCTTGTCATCAGCTTGTTAACAATTTGTTACGTGCGGTTGTCATCAACTTGTTAACAATTTGTTACGTGCAGTTGTCATCAACTTGTTAACAATTTGTTACGTGCAGACGATATCAGACTTGTTGCGAGTCTGTTGGTCTCATCAGTATAGGTAATAGCATGGTTTCGAGTGCAATTTGGATATAACATGCACGAGTGAGTTTTTCAAAGACCTCAAAATAGCACGAGTCCGAAGGACGAGTGCTATTTGAGGTCTTTGAAGAACTCACGAGTGCATGTTTATCCAAATTTCACGAGAAACCATGCTATTACTTATTAATAATTTACATAAAAATGTTCGAGACAATTTTCGAGACGCGTTTTATATAGCGAACATTTCACTGACAAAGTTTTCCTGGCCTTGTTATATCACATTATACAACGCTAACAGCTTGAAAATTCCACTCAACTATGTAATTTTTGTTAGTCTTGTTTAAGGCAAATGCTTTTCCATTTAAAAATAAAGATAAAAGCCGTATTTTCCACGCGAAGGCAACTTTTACTTTGTGTAGCGCGGCGCCATGTTTGTTTTGTTTTCAAGCAATCTGTGACCGTTACTTCTTTAAACTAAATTGCTTTAAACTGATTGGTTGATTTAATCATCACAATGTTTTTCCACCAATCAGAACAGTTTGTTACAGATTTTTGCACTGTGATTACAGAAAATTGCACTGTGATTACAAAAAATTGCACTGTGATTACAGAAAATTGCACTGCTGTTTGAGATTAACTGCACTGAAATCAACCAATCACAGTCGAGTAATATCTTTATGTATATTATTAACCTTGTTACAAGATGATAACAACTTGTTCCATGCAGACTTGTCGACAACTGGAACAAGCAATACGAACACGTGTTGTTGATAAGCTGTAAGATTTTTACGCGTGTATATATCCATATATATAAAAAAAGGCAAGTTGAAAGAGCGGGAGAAACATACTTCTTTTTCTTCCAGATCTCGAAGAATTTCCTCATACTCTGCATCACTACGTGCTGACATACCCCAGTTACGAGAGCCAATCCTACATGAGAAAATGAGCTTCATTAAATACTGTCTTGTCTTGTACGGTGGCTTTCACTGTAGTTCAACATACGATGGTGCAGTTAGCAGGGTGAGAAATTATTTCAATATATGTGGTAGTCTTTATAAACTTTGTCACAATATAAACTACACAATATAAATACTATATAATGACTTTTGTATTGCGTGCGGAAATTGTTACCATTTTCGGCCCAAATGTGGTAGCAATTTCCGCATACAAGTATACAAAATTTGCGAACTGTGCAAGGCTATATTTTCCGCATTTTGCAACACTTCGCAACCAAACTTTGCAATTTTACTCATTTTAGTATGCTCTTTCCGGGAATACACTTTTTTTGCCAAGATAAAAAAATAGTCTATAATGGATTGTCTATTAAAATTTGTTTCAAGTTACCTTGAGAATCTTTCTGTCTGTTCTCTGTGTCTCTTGATCTCTGGGAAGATCTTCTCGTAAAAGTCTCGTACGCGCGATTCTTTATTCCTAATCAAGTATGCAATCAGTATGAGAAAGACGGATCAACAAGGGGAAGGGGGGAGGTGGGGGGGAGGAGGGGAAATGGAAAGTCAGAGTACTATTGTATAAAAAGTGAACTGGAAGTGTTGTTTTAACCATAGATAATAGAAGAGAAGGATAGGGAACTCATTGTTCTATGTTTTTGTTCACGTTATTCATTTATTCAAGTCATTCACGGCATTGTATTTTCTGTATAATGAGGCATTCATCCAATAGAAACGACTGGGTTGAATTAATCAGTCGCTTTACCGTCACGTGGTGGGTCGCTTTATCGTGACGTGTCTATAGAATTTACTTCCATATAGGGCATGTCATTGTCTTTCAACATGAAGTTAATTTTTGCTGTGAGACAATGGAGTTGCCTATCCTTCTCTTCTATTATCTATGTTTTAACGCAGTCGAGCGCGGGGCGGCGAGCGAAATGGTGAAGTGGAAAACGGGCTTCAGTTGTCGAAGTCTTTTTGATACTGCTGTTTTGGAAAGCAAGTTAATTTTAGCTTGGGAATAAGTATGAAAGAAACAAAATTTAACTTTCTTCACAACATTTACAGTACAGAATTAATACATTGTGCTGATATTCATTTGTGTCAGTCAGACTTATTTCCGAGTCAAAATTGTACAGAATGTCATCAGACATATGTCCGACCCAAACTCAACGACATCGGACATTTTGTCAGACGGCCCTGTGAAAGATATTTTAAGGCCTGCATGAACGTTCTATACGTACTTTCGCTTCTGATTATTCTCTAGCTTTTCCACCTTTTCAATCCATTTCTTGTATAGAACTTTGTACTGTTCGAGCAGCGCTCGTTGCTACAATGAAAAATTGGAATATATATATACTCGTCAGGAATTTTATCATGTTGGTTTGTGTTCAAGAAGAAATTGCCCAACAAAACCAGTGTCTATATTTTGACATATTAACCTTTATCTGTTTGTCTTTACGTTTTCGCTGGAAATACTTGACCAGTTTCAACTGCACCGCTCTCGCTCTGAAACGAAAGTATTTACCGTGGTAACAATACATCTTTTTCACATTTTTTTAGTCCATTTAAGGAGGCTCCCTACAGTTGCGTGCGGGATGTTCGCGGGACCAGTACGTGAACTATCCCACGCAACCGCATGATCAAAACAAAACAAATTTCTGAAAGGTTTCTAATGGAAAAAAGCGTTGAATAATGCTGGGTTGTCCATAGCACTCAAATAAATCGAAAAGTTGACAAAAACAAAACAGTAAAACAACATTGCGGCTCGATTTTGCTGAATGAAAACTCGTTCTGCGCCCGCGTACAATCTTTTACTAGTCAGCGACGCTTTTCAATAGGGGAATTTCTCGAGTTATTACACGAGGCTATTTTCTAACTTTATTTGCATTTTACTCATTAGTTTCATCGGTGACCTATCTTCAAATTTTGACCACGAATTTTGCGGTAAATTTTATAAATTTCAAATTTTAAAAAATCTGTAGTGTGGAAATTTCGCAATAAATTTTTCGCTTTTAAAAAAATCACACACTACAGAATTTTTTTAAACTTTCACCACAGTTGCAGAGCATCATTCCTCATTGATATATGAAATAAAAAAGATAGGTCACCAACATCGTTTTTGAGATAGCGGCACATTTATGGGTTAAATTGGAAGGCTTTATGCTGTCGTCATGTTGCCATGGGAACATTGACATCGTCGAAATCTAGTTCGAAATATTCCTTAGGTGACCAATATTGCCACCAAGTCGAAAAGACTTCGCGTTCTGCACGAATAAGCCTGTTTTACAGAATTATTGCTTAAACAAGAATAACTGTAGGGAGCCACCTTAAAATGTCATGTTAGCAATCTATAAATACCAGAAATTAAAAGAGCTGGAAACCAGTTTCATATTATTCTCACACTGCAATCGACCAACGAAAAATTCGTTGGCTCGAGCGGGATTTGAACTCGCATCTTCTAAGTCGTCACGAAAATATTTCGTGCACTTAAGTTGGATAAGACTCGCTACCAATCCCCGTTGACTCGATAGCTCAATGGGTAGAGCGGCGGTCTAGATACCCAAAGATGCGAGTTCAAATCCCGCTCGAGGCAACGAATTTTTCGTTGGTCGATTGCAGTGTCAGAATAATATGAAACTGGTTTTTCGTATCTCTGAGGATGGTTCTGAAATAAAAGAGCTGGTCAAAGTACTATACGACAAATTTGGAGGCTTTATTTTGGAAACTGTGGTAATGTCACCATTTTTAAAAACAATGTTCCTTCAAGGCAAAATTCCTATATTCCTTTTAAAATAATTGCTGTGCTGAGTGGTTATATTACTATCTGAAAAAACAAACAAGCAGAAACTCGACGTTTCGAGCGAAGGTCCTTCGTCAAGAGTTAGCTAGTAACTGAGTAGAGTTAGTTCTGCTTGTTTTTTAAGGTAGTAATATAACCACTCAGCACAGCAATTTCACATTGGTACTACCCACACTGGTACAGACACTTTTAAAATAATGTACATGAAAAAATTTCTCAATTCTGATTGGCTAAGGGCAGTGCGATTTTTTCGAAATACAGTGCCAAAAATGAAATATAGTGCAAAAGAAGGAAATACAATGCAAATTTCTTATTTTTCTAAATTTTCTTATTTTTCTTAATTTTTTATTTTTCAAATTTTCTTAATTTCTTAATTTCTAAATGTGACTTACGCACGTTGACTGCATAATTTTTTCATGTATATATTAATAAGTAATAGTATGGTTTCTCGTACAATTTGTAAAAACATACACTCGTGAGTTTTTCAAAGACTTCAAAGACCGTCTTTGAAAAACTCACTCCGTGCATGTTTTTTTCCCAAAATTGCACTTGAAACCATACTATTACCATGGATAATAAAATACATGGATAGGAAACTAGCTGACGTGACCTAATGTTTTCAATGGGATGATGGTGTTGAAACCTAGTTGCAAACCAAATTCTCAAAAACGGCATGTTTAGCAATAATACAGCTAAACATTTTAGTCAAAGAGCAAATAAATATAACTAGGCCATTCTACAATGAAATCTCTAAGTGTTCCCGGTCAATTTTAGCAAATATTTCAAGCACTAGACAGTGAAAAATGCATCGCAAATTTCGTTAAAATTGGCGACGCCAATTTTGTAGCAACAAATGTAAAAAAAAATACAAAACAAAGACGAAAAACATTTACCTTGAATACTTTGTCGTGGCTTATGCATGTTTTTAAAACAATTAGACCAGTTTATGCTTCAATATTACTCTTTTAAAGCGGAAAATATAGCGAAACAACAAAAATGCCGAGAACTTTGGCAATACGCGTGACGTCACAGATTGCAACTAGGTTTAGACTGTGACGTCAGGAAGTTTCCTATCCAGTTATTTTACAATTCATACTCTTACCTATACAAATTTTCTGTTTTTAGGAACGACGCTCATGCCACAGTTTTACACAATACAGCCCCCATATTTTGGGTGCTTCTACATGTTGTGACTTACATAGGCAGCTGTCACGCCTCGACAACAATTTTGGAAAGCACGGAAAAATTTTTTTGAGAAGTCGGGCACAATGGGAAAAAGTCAGGCAAATCTCTTTCCGCCCCCTAACTTTTTTCTTCCCGTACGCCTATGGTGACTTACTTCTTTCTATTTTCTTCATAGAACGGGAGGTCCGATGGTTGGTTGTACAAGGGCTGTGAAATAAAACAACACACAAGTTAAAATCACGGAGAATTCAGACGATGAAAATGAGTGAAAACTTACCAACGTTGTCGATGAAGGAATGCCAATCTTCGCAAATATCTCATGCGCTGCAGCTGCTTTTTTCTGTAATAGAATGGCAGAACAGGGTGTTAGCCGCAGTTTAACGGCAGAGTATTCGTGTTTGGAGGTAGGTGCCGTTTGTGATCCAAGGCTGCAACTAGCCTTGATGACAAGAAGTACTGCCATAGCAGCAACAATGAGAGCAACAATGTTTAATGTTTAATATGAAAATTACACATTGAATAACTACAATAAGTAGCTAAATTAGAACGCGCATTACATACATATAAAAGAGATACATTAATCACTGTACTATCTAAATTAGGTATTACAAAAAGTTTCAATAGAGATTTATAGTTATATTATAAATGAGAGTTATTATCAAAAGTTCTACTGACGAAACAATTGGACTGTTCTGAAAACTATCTAATACGTATTAAAAACGTTTCTATACATCCTATTTCATGTGAAATTAGATTATATAAAATAGAATGACACACTATCACTAATCAGATAAAATCATCTAGAATAAACATGGGTGGGTGGGGAAAAGGTATCGAAGCGCTAAACTTGCTGCAACTAGGCAAAGCATACAATGGCAGAATGAATACCTAGACCGAAGCACTGACCACAAGGCGCGAAAAAAACCCATTTGATCGATATGACGTCACGGATTCCTCTCAAAGGATGTAGCATGCACAATACATCCGCCGTTACCCTTGCTTAAATGTATTTAATTTCAATTCACAATTCAGATCAGCCAAAAACGTAACTATTATATATATAAAAGATTGTTGAACTTCAAAACTTCGCTCAAGAAAAATTAGGTACCAGATAAGTGTCATGTAGCCTAAAATATACATTTGTCTGTTTGTAGTACGCAAAACAATGTCAGATGACTTGCACTTCAAAAGTGTCAATTTAGCTCAGCTGGCGAAGAACGTCACTTAAGAAACACGATATTCCTTAATTCCGGTCTGAATGTCGTAGGCTAACTGAAATTCCCATTAAATTTGCCGAATTTTTTATCTTCTGGGTAACGCCCATAGATATCTTATATAGACTAGATAGCGCATCTCTTTAAGTAAAATTGAAGCCAAGAATATTCCAGCGGTTAACCCCATTTGAATAGATGGCGGCCATGTTGAAGTTTCCCACTCACTACTAAACGCTTAAAAAACAACAATAACTTTCATCATTTGAACAGTTTGAAAATGTATTTGGAATCGGTTTAACTTAATGTTTAAGTTCCCTGTTTAAGAAATAGAAAACATACGAGTCTTCTCATTTCATGGGAATATCCTGAGTCTGCAATCACGGCTTCAATTTTTGAATTGCAGAATAATTATATGCACTATCTAGTGTATATAAGATATCTATGGTAACACCCTGCAGAAATAGTTTAATTAAAACTCAGTACGGAAGTGTTTCAAATTTTCCAGTGATATTTAACAATTATTCGCCGAAGGCTGAGGTGATTATCGGGGAATATTCACCGAGACAAAGTCGAGGTGAATATTCCCCGATAATCACCGAGCCTGAGGCAAATAATTGTTTTAGTATTTTTACACAAGTCTTTTGTGTTTTCTGGGACTGAATTTATTTGAAAATAAATTAATTTCCCTTTCTTTATCAGTAACTTCCACAAAACGGCTAGCCGCCATTTTTCAAATTTCGATTACAGCTGAATACGTCAAATTTGACCAATCAACTTGTAGGATTTGTTATATTCACATGTGCAAAAATAGTAGTTTAATATACTGAAATTCTCCTTATATATTTTTCAGGCATCCCTAGCAAACGAAAGCTTGTACTTACTCTGTTTTCTTCATAAATTCGTTCAATCAAAGTTTTTTCTTTCGGTTCAGAAGGAATAACTTCCACTTCACTTTTTTCTTCAATTCCGTTTTCTTGTTTCACCTTTTCATTTTCCTTCTCCTCTTCTTCTTCCAGCAGTGCATCTTGGGATAGCTCATATTCCAACGTTTTCTACAAAGTAATTAAAGATGGGTTGAAGATAAGACCAAATATGAAATGAAAGTTGGTCACATATTTACCGGTCAAACGAGCGAAAACTCTAAACTCTCGTCACTTTTCATCCAAATTTCAACCAGCGCAACGTTGATGAGAGTGGATGAGAGTTGGGACACAGAATAAAGACACACAGAAGGTCGACTCAGCCAAAACAGCGTATTAAAACCGCTACCACGCCATGATTCATCATCAAAATGCTGATGCCATAGTCCTAGCCAGTGCGCTTATGAGAGGCGCCATTTTGAATATTTTCAGGGGGTGAATGCCTCTCAAACGCGCACTGGCTAGGCAATGGGCTAGGCCCATGGCGTCAGCATTTTGATGACGAATTACGGTTGCGCCAAAACCATTGGAAAATCATAGGAAAAACCAAGAAGTCGGGCTTCTGTGTAGTCTATTCTGTGACCATGGCGTCAGCATTTTGATGACGAATTACTGTTACGCCAAAACCATAGGAAAATCATAGGAAAAACCAAGAAGTCGGGCTTCTGTGTAGTCTATTCTGTGACCATGGCGTCAGCATTTTGATGACGAATTACGGTTACGCCAAAACCATAGGAAAAACCAAGAAGTCGGTCTTCTGTATAGTCTCTATTCTGTGTCTTTATTCTGTGACAGAGCTTTATTCTAGCTGCAAATTCTCGCTTTTCAACTCTCATCCTCGCTTGACCAGCGCTTAACACGATTTATATTCGCAATGGCTCCGGAAACATTTCATTTTTTTCTGATACCAGCTCTAAACTTGTAAGTGGTTAGTGCATGGTTTCCAACTAGTGATGGTGGTGGGGGTCAAATCTGATCAACGCAAATCATTTTGATAGTGTAGTATTTATTCTTGCATGTTTATATTGTAAAGTACGTGTTGTAAGGACCAAAATCTGGTCTAAAATGGCTGGAGTCACTTTTGACTTCCGCTACCATCATCAATACCTCGCGCTGACCTGGTTTGCATGTAAGTGCTTAGTGGTTTCCAACTAGTGGTGTGGTGCTCAAATCCGAATCTCGCAAATAATTTCACAGTAGTGTAGTATTTATTCTTGCATGTTTTATAAAGTGTAAACAGGGTTCCTAGTCTCCAAGACCAAGAAAATTCAAAAACTTTCAAAGATTTTTTCTGCCTATTTTCAAAGACTTTTCAAAGACCTTTGGGAGCAATCAGCTGTCGAAAAATTGTGAGTGTAAGCAATATTTTTACCCAATAATTAGTCCCGTCAAATCACATCCTAAAATGCGCACTTTCGTCGATATTTGTGAGAATCTTGCTTCAATCAATCTATTTTATTAGCTAGGAAATCGTATAATCAACTACTCACTAAAAAATTTAAAGACTGTGAAAGACTTTCTTCGCTTTTTCACACAATGCAAAGACGTTTCAAAGACCTGCACTCAAATTTAAAGACTTTCAAGGATTTCAAAGACCGCTACGAACCCTGGTAAAGGCCTGTAAAATCAGTATTACGTTGTCCAGTTTGTAGTCCGTAATAAGTCGTGTTTTAGTGTTAGATGGATGGACTTAGTACGGGATTCTACTCATTCTATTTCTGTTATCCAATCTTTCAATCATATAGCTGTATGTGTTTTTTTTATATATATAATATGATTGTAAAGTTAATAAAAACCCCCCAAAAAAACTACCTGTTTCTCCTCCAAGTCACAGATCTTCTTCTCAACTTCCGCGATTTCCTTATCGACCTTTTCCATTTGTTTCAAAAGTTCGTTTGTTTTGCTTTTGTTGTCCTCTTCTTTGGAAGGCTCGTCACTCGCTTTCTCCACCTCTGCTTCTACAGAGAAAATGAACCACAATGCATTTCACTTCTCAAACCCAGCGGTGTAACTTAACACTTGCCCGCCGGCGCAAGTGAATATCATGACTGGCAAGTAAACGTTTTATCTTGCTTGCCCGATTGGGCAAGTTGTCTTGCAACAAAGAGCCAGGCATCTTTGAGTTTATGTTTTCATTGTCGGATAAATTTTTTATAGTGCATGTACTTGATTCACATTTTGTTTTTTTTGTGGGCCAGAGCTATATAGATCTGAGGCAGTATAACATGGCCATATAGAGCAATGGGAGAACGGGTCAACATGTTGTCCCCTTAATTTATACCCCCTACCTAGGTACCCCAGTGGCCATTGTCTGATGGCAAGTGAATTTTATTCAGAGCAACTCATTTTCATGCCCATCTCGCCCCGAGGGCAAGAGGAAAGTTACAGCACTGAAACCTTCTCCGGCATATATGCGGTGGTCATTTTCTTACTTAAAAGTATACCAGGCCTTTGTCGTTGCAATAACGTTTAATCTTTCAGAGACTTTGGGGGTGAGTGTCTTACCTGAATTAGTCGGAGAAACTGCTTCAACTTTTGGCTGATAAACATCATCCTATTGTCAGAAAGATAAAAAAAACTTGAAGTGCACTACACTGGAAAAAAAATTGAAAATCCATAGAAGGTCATAGAATGGAAATTGCATGGACCTTTATTGGAAATAAAATGGATTTTGGTTATCCATAATAATTGTATATTTCGATACTATGGATATAGTATGGAAATAGTATGGATATACTATGGAATTAGTGGTGCAATTACAAATTTCGTAGTATGGATTTCACTTTTTCCAGTGCTATTCACTGTTGAAGAATTTTGATCAGTTTCTTGTTCAGCAAAATTTAGTCATTATTCTGAATCACATAATGCTATTCATGAATGTGAAAAAATAAAGAATGACGGGAAGGATGTTTTGGCCAACAGACGCGACGACGTTTTAACCGACGGACACGATACCGTTTGATGTGATTCCCTAATCATGTGATTTCCTGATCATTAAAGATCGTTGTCAATGAAGTTAATACAACTTGAAATGTCATTTTGAATGTGATAAGAACTTTATTAAACGAATCATCCCGGTGAACAGGGCCAGCCCGCCTTCATATGAACAGCCCCTAAGTTGATAAAGTCCTCAATCAGCTCACTAGTTTTATTTACACTGACCTTTACGGATGTAACTGTACTGCTTGTGGCATAGCTTGTATTGACATCACTTGGACTCGCTTGCATAAGCAACCCTGTAGGTTGACTTGGCTTGCTCACGTGATATGCCCCAGGTATAGTATGCCCTGTACTCTGACTGGATTCAACTCTCGGGCCATACAGGCTCGCCAAACTGGATCCTGCAGGCTTGTAAGGCGAAGTAGGTTGGGATCCGTAAGGACGATGGGTAGGTTGACGGTCAGAATGTTGAAACGAGCTTAATAATGAACCGCTCGTTGACAAGCTACTCGTCAGTGGTTTATTAGGGGCGTGGCCGGTTGGAGAGATATTTACAGATAGTGGCGAGATTTTTGACGCAGATTTGTTTCCAGAATTAGCACGAGAAGTTTGGACTGTAAGCGTGGATATTGATTGAGATGAAGGTGGTTTGCTATCACGACGTCGATCTCTGAAAATGTATGTTATTCACAAGAGATCAATTATAAATGTATCCCTTTTAACCAATGAGTGGCAGCACTCTCAGTCTCCCCTTAGACAGAGTATTGCAATTTCAAAGGTTAAAGAAGTTAAAGAGGCACATGTGTCTCACACCTTTATGACTGGGGTTATATTTGTACATGGTTATGTGTTAACCATGTTAACCATGCTCTGGCGACGTGGGCTTTCAGTTTGACTCTGCAAATACCAATAATGGACTAGGGAAGCATGACCCTTACTGCACCTCTAGAGAGAACAGTTTAGAACTGATAGAGCTATCCAGTATAAATAAAGTTAGTTTAGTTTAGGTTTCCTCCTGTAGTAACACTGGATCAATAAGAGATGATCCTTACTGGACCTCTAGGGAGAACAGTTTAGAACTGATAGAGCTATCCAGTATAAATAAAGATAGTTTAGTTTAGGTTTCCTCCTGTAGTAACACTGGATCAATAAGAGATGATTCTTACTGGATCTCTAGGAAGAACAGTTTAGAACCGATAGAACTATCCAGTATAAATAAAGTTAGTTTAGTTTAGGTTTCCTCCTGTAGTAACACTGGATCAATAAGAGATGATCCTTACTGGATCTCTAGGGAGAACAGGTTAGAACTGATAGAGCTATCCAGTATAAATAAAGTTAGTTTAGTTTAGGTTTCCTCCTGTAGTAACACTGGATCAATAAGAGATGAGCCTTACTGGACCTCTAGGGAGAACAGTTTAGCTCTGATAGAGCTAGCCAGTATAAATAAAGTTAGTTTAGTTTAGGTTTCCTCCTGCAGTAACACTGCATCAATAAGAGATGATTCTTACTGGATCTCTAGGGAGAACAGTTTAGCTCTGATAGAGCTAGCCAGTATACATATGATAAAATTAGTTTAGCTTTATTTTTAAGCTTGTGTATGATGTAAACATTACCTGGGCAGAATAGCTTCCCTATTTATTGCACTAAAATCATTGAAATTGCCCAGACCCACTTCCTGATGACAATCTTCGTAACTGAACGTTGTAAAATCATTTCCACTGGAACTTGATCTTCTTTGTCTCTTGTATGGGGAACCTATGTCTCGTCTTTATATTCAATAACAAAGATAATTTATTTAGACAGTAGGCCATTACATACTTGTTAATTTAGGTTGAAGAATAATAGAATAAACCCTTCGGGAATGTACCCAGCATTGGCTATAGAGCCTCTTTTTTGTGATTGAGATATTTGGTTTAGAGCCCTTTGTTTAATAACTTTAATACAGGACGAACACATTTAGGAAGTCATACAGTTATATCAGATAAAAAATGTGATATAATTAGGTACTCGGCAGGGCTCGAATTTTATCGCGGCAATTGCCGTAGAGGGAGAAGAAAGAAGGCAATTTTTTGCCGTATGGTGCAATTTTTATACTATTCACTGTGCATTACTATTTTGATACTTGAATTCAGATGTTGATCAAATCATGCGTAAATCACTATTTTAGTCTCAGTTTTCTTCGAAAAAAAAACACTAAAGAAATACGTAGACATGTTTCTAGCTTGTCAAAAATCTAAAGTAACAATAAAATTAAAGTTTTATTACAGTAATTTGAAAAATGCTGTGGAAACTGTCAAAATTGCCGTAGACAGCTGTTACGTTCTACGGCAATTTTTAACGCCATTGCTGTCGATTGATTTCAGGGAAATTCGAGGCCTGGTACTCGGTAACAAGATAAAGGACTCCAAAGCCGATATCTAAATCATGAAAACAAGGCTCTATAGCCAAGGCGGAGTACTTTCCAGAAGGGTGTATTTTCAAAACACTAAAGTCAGTGGAACATTCTGATTGCTGGATCATGAATGGATTTACTATATTGTGATTCTCAGGGCCAGCAAATTTCCTCCATGGAAGTTTAAAGGAAATTTTTAATTTCAAAAAGTGGAAGCACTCCAAATTTATGAAAATTTTCAGCATATAACATTGAACTGAATAGAACTGGAACGCTACCTCCAACCGGAAATTTGAAGCCAAATTTGAAGGCCAGTCCCAGTCTTTTCATGCATACGAAGAGTGCTCAATCAGTCAATCAAAAAATAGAAGTTTATCTGAAGGTAGCATTCCAGTTATATTCATTTCAATGGGATATACTAATTTTGAAAAGTGGAAACACTTATTTACAAAAATGGGGGATGTTCAACAATTGTTTGGACCACATAATTAATAGTTAAAATGGAGTAAAATTAAGTAGAAAATTACCTTCCATCCTGTTGTCCATATCGAGGTCTGTGCCTGTCATAGGGACCTTGCTCATATCTGAACATTAAAATTATGTAAAATTTATGTTTATAAAACTAGTATAAAACATTTAGAGTTAGACCTAAAAAAATACCTGTGGTTCCGGTTCCCGACCGATCCTATTTTTTCTGCCGACCCTATTATTTTTTCAACGCGATTGACCATGCGACCTTATTTTCTCTGGGTGGTTGCGGGCTGCTCATACAGCGTGCCAAAATGGCGTCTGTTGTCACACTAATTATTGAACCAAATTGCCTAAATTCATCCATAGGAAATATGCATCTCTACTTAATATTGATGTTGGGACTCTACTGCAAATCACCCAGCAAAAAAAAACGCCAAAACCATGAAAAAATAGTAAAAAAAAACTATTTCCGACCTACCGACCCTAATTTTTTCATGATATGAAACCGGAACCACATGTATTTTTTTAGGCCTTACCATCGATTCCATCCACAGATGAGTTGCAGATACAAACATTGTATATTCTCACATGAAACTTCAATGTTGTCAAGGAGTATTTGAAGATTTTATGAGCTTAGTGAATTAATATGATTGGCTGCTCAGGTTAAAACCTGTCAAATGGTCTATACCAACATGAAAGTTTCATGTGAGAATGGGCCTTTCCCCTTATAACTAAAATTTTGATCTAGACAAGTCTAGACAAAAATTTCATCACAGCTTGAAAGAGCATCACAAAATTAGTAATATTCCGAAGTTTTGTTGCGAAATGATGTAAAATGCGGATAATATAGCCCTGCGAAATTTGCAATTTTCAGTCATTTTGTATTACGCACAGGAAATTGATGCCCCAACACCCGATTGGGCTGTCAATTTCCCATGCGTAATACAAAATGACTGAAAAACGGCAAATTTCGCAAGGCTATATTATCCGCATTTTACAACATTTCACAACGAAACTTTGGAATATTACTAATTTTGTGATGCTCTTTCAAGCTGTGATGAAATTTTTGTCTAGACCAAAATTTTAGTTATAAGGGGAAAGGTCCATTAATCTTACCTGCAACTGCTCATTCTTAAAAGAAATGCAAATAAAATAGACGACGTTGCTACCCAATTCAGAACTGTACATAACTCACATGCCTGGTTACATTTGTTCTAGTTAACAGAAGCATGGGATAAAACAAAGTGACTTAAAACATTAGAATTATGTATGTATAAGAGTTACTCACTCATGTAGATAATTCTAAAGCTTAGTTACCTTTGTTATATTCTATGCTTCTGTATACTAGAACAATAGTAACTAGCCAGTAATGATTTTTCTGTGTTGGTGTAATGTGCTCAGGTCAATATGATGCTTGTGATGTTACTCTGAGTGTATATCCACACTGGGCAAGCTTGAAAAATATGCCTGACCATGGTGGGAATCGGACCTATAACCTTTGGAATACTAGCCCAATGCTCTGCTAACTGAGCTACGCGGTCAGATCGGTTCGAGTATGTGATGTTTCGGAACAGAATCTAGTTCCTTCGATATCAATGTAATCTAATAATCAGTAATTATTTTTCTGTGTTGGCGTAATGTACTCAGGTGAATATGATGCTTGTGATGTTACTCTAACTAGCCATGTGAGTTATTGAAAGTTGTAAATTGCATGAAAACACAAACATCAGCAAAATTTGTCTACAGTAAGATTTTAGGCATACAGTACATTGCCATTTATTTTTACAGATGTTGCGCTATTGAAAATAGCTTTTTAATCACCACAAAAGTGTCACAAATAACAAATATTCAGCAATCATAAACCCACACCTGCACTCCAAAAATGAGTTTATAAAATATGATCAAATAGCAACCTTTATAAATCCAACAAATATACCCCCTAACTGCTTTACGATTATCTAACTAAATTTCCAAGAAATTTCATCATTTCCACAAAATATATTAAATAAATTAATAACAGGAGTTTAATCTCAAACTAGATATTAAATTTCCATAAACCTTTAGAAAAACATCTGCCCTTCATAACTTTAATGTTTAATATTAAATATTAACTGAATTTCATGCACAATAAAAACATTACTATTAAAAAAATTCAAAAACATATTTCCTAAATAGTACCAGGAATAAGGTTTCTGAACTATATAAGTCAAGTATAAATTACTGAAAACATTTTATTTAATATTATCAAGGCTTTGTTATTGATTCGAATATATTCTTAAAACAAGCGCCTTTGTTTTAACGTTTTATAACAATATTTGCGGCGTTATTCTTTAACTTAGAAAGCTTTTTTCAGCCTACCTGTAGGGATGCCCTTTAGACATGTCTCTAACCAGTTTATTCTTGTGTATTCGTGGAGCAGAAAGCTGCAGAAATGTTCAAAATTATCACTCATATTTAGCTGTTGATTTCGAGTCGGCCATCTTTGCTTCTCATATTACAATCGGTGTTTCCACTCCCCAAGCTCAAATTTTCATTTCCCATCTCATCTTTCATTATTTATGACGTCAAAAAAACTCAGCAGCTATCCTGCACCTCCAAATCCGATGCGAAATCCGATCAGATTCGTTCGGATTTCGAAGCCATAATATTCACTTCGGATCGGAAAAATATTTTCGTAGTCGGATCGGATATTACCAATTCTCGGATTGTAAACCTCAATCCGATCCGATGCACATCTCTAAATTCCAATATAAATGAAGTTAGTTCTCCTCCCCGAACAAATTCTGCCCCTAAGTTCAGTTTAGGTTTCCTCCTGTAATAATACTGGATCTCTAGGGATCGGGGAACAGTTTAGAACTGATAGACAGTATAAATAAAGTTAGTTTAGTTTAGGTTTCCTCCTGTAGTAACACTGGATCAATAAGAGATGATCTTTACTGGATCTCTAGGAAGAACAGTTTAGAACTGATAGAGCTATCCAGTATAAATAAAGTTAGATTAGTTTAGGTTTCCTCCTGTAGTAACACTGGATCAATAAGAGATGGTCTTTACTGGATCTCTAGGGAGAACAGTTCTGAACTGATAGAGCTAGTAAGACTGGATCAATAAGAGATGATCCTTACTGGACCTCTAGGGAGTACAGTTTAGAATTGATAGAGCTACTGTATCCAGTATAAATAAAGTTAGTTTAGTTTACGGTTTCCTCTTGTAGTAACACTGGAACAATAAGAGATGATCCTCATATATAACAAGATGTGAAACTGAGTTTTATTAATTAAATTCCAGTTCATTGGTGCTATTACAGTTGCATTTAAGACAACACCTTTTGCATGTCTCATAACTCTGAGCCAGCAGTCAGTTAATAGTCACTGTTCATACAAGAACACCAGTACATTACTGCGCAGCAAATAATGCGGTAACTACTTCGAGATTTTTACAAATGATGCGCTTATTAATAACATTACAGTTCGTTCTGTCAAATAAGTTGTCCTTTCCCTTGTGCAATTTGTATTCCACCCTTTAAGGCCCATTTCCACTCAGGAAAATATTCCGCAGAAACAAAATTTTGTAAAATGTGATTGACCAACACAAATTTTCCAACACAAAAATTTCAACTTTTAACAATATTATACTTTCGGAATCTTTTCTGTCCGTGAAAAATTTTTCTCGAGTGGAAATGGGCTTTTACAGCGAGTTTAACTAAACAATATCGTGCAGCAGATTGTGATCAACTTGATCAGAGTAAGAAAATACTTTCATCCTATGTAGCAGTCTTGTATTTCGTGCTAAATTAAGGGACCGTTCATTATTTATACCCGGGGTTGGTACCGAAAGAAATACGGGTTGGGTAATCAAGTTTCTGACTAGCTCATGGGTTGGGTAAAAAAAAATATGGCTGTTTGTCAGCTATAAAATAAAACCAAAATTACCATGCATTGGAAAATATGAAGAAAAATGTGTACAATACATTCTGTACCAAAATAGACCATCCGTGATTGATGAAGGACGTGCCTGCTTTGGCACACTCGGTGAGTTTGAGTGAGCTTTTAAAATTTAGGCAACTTGATTTCTGTCACCATAATCTTGTGTGTTTATTATTATGAAGTACAGTAACACATGGGTTGGGTAAACATTATTTTGACCAATGTTAAGATTAGGGGTCAGCCAGGGGGCGGGGGTCGTGGTATCCTAAATACCTGATAAATATGGATCAAAATACGGTCAAAATGTTACAAAATACCTAAAGCAATCAGAAGCTGTATACCTAATACCCAAAATTAGTCATAACATTTAAGTAAATATACAGTATACTCGAATTAAATACCCATTAGATCCTGTTTACCCAAAACCCCATGGCCGACCCTAAAGATTGGATAAATAAAAAATTTACAGTGTTTTTCGCTTCTCTTCGCCTTCGGTACCAACCCCAGTTATAAATAATGAACGGTCCCCAACAAGAGAGAAATAGAAAGCTACGAATTGAGAAGGATTCAACTATACCTGAAAAATACAAGTAAAATCTCCGACGCTTCGAGCGAAGGTCCTCTGTCGGGAGGATAGTATAAAGGCCGATTTAAACTACAAAACTTTTGCCTAAAACTGTCGCATGCAACATGCTTACAACAAGAGTTGTACTGTGTAAATCAAGCATACAACTCACGTAAGTTGTCGTAAGTCTCGATTTACACAGTACAACTCAATTAGCCTTTTCCCAAAATCGAGATCACAGTGCATTCTGGGATCGTTTGGAGGGACAAAATATATGGTGGCAGGAATCAAATATGTGAAAGAGTAGAAGTATCTACTATCAAATATCAACTTTTTACACGACCAGAAATGAAATATCTCCTTTTTACAGTAAACATTAAAATTTAAATGTGTGCTGCCATATTTCTTGTCCCTCCAACCTGGGATTCGCACAACTAGATCCAGGACTTTGGGAAATGGCTAATACAAGTTGTGAGCAGGTTGCATGCGACAGTTTTAGGCAAACGTTGTGTAGTCTAAATCAGCCTTTGCTGGAAACGTCGAAGTTTTCCTTTTTCAGGCAGTTGAATCCATCTCAATCCGCAGCTTTCTGCTGTTGTTGTCACTATGTACGCTGGCGCATACCGTTCGAGTTGACATAAGAAAAAATTAGTTTCAATTTTCTTGTTCCTATAAGCATAGGCAGCCCAGCAAAATGTGTAAAAAAGTTCGTCTCAATTTGCTATCAAGCGATTTATTCAGGGATGGATCCAGCATGATCTGGTAGGGAGGGGGGGGGGGGGGGGA